ATTTGTGCCTTTTGTGTTCTAATTTTCTGTAAACCTATTTTGTAACCTAGGTAATTGACAGAATCTCTCTTTTTATTTTTTCAGGAGAAATTTGTAAACCCCATTTAGGCAAAAATTTCTTTGCTTCTTCAAACATTCTTTCTAAAGTATCTGCATTTGAGTCAGATAACAAAATGCCATTCATGTAATGGTAAATTATAGACTTAGGAAATTGCTTGCATATTATTTCCAGTGGTTGACTTACAAAGTATTAGAACAGGGTGGGGCTATTGAACATTTCCTGTGGGAAAGCGGTCTACTGGCATCTCCTAGTAAACTGAGAATTATTATAAGTAGGCACTATGAAAGCAAATTTTCTTGATCCTTTTCTTGAAAAGGTATAGTGAAGAAACAATTTTTTAAATCAATAACTATAAGAGGCCATCCTTTTGGTAACAGAGAAGGCAGAGGAATTCCAGGTTGTAAAGGACCCATAGGTTGAATAACTTTGTTGACAGCTCTTAGGTCTGTCATCATTCTCCATTTTCCAGATTTCTTTTTAACAACAAATACAGGAGAATTCCAAGGGTTGGATGATTCTTTACTATGGTGAGCATTTAGTTGCTCCTGTACCAGCTGTTCTAAAGCCTGCAGTTTGTCTTTCATTAAAGGTCATTGTTTAACCCTATGGGTTTCTCAGTTAACCATTTTAAAGGCAAGGCCGTTGGTACTTCTGAAGGTTTGTTAGTTGCTTTGTTCTCTTGTATAACCTGAATGACTGGTGACCTTTGTTTATAATATCTTATAATATCCTTCCCAGAAACATGAGTTTTGAGGACTGCAAGAATGTTAACCTGGGTATTCCATTTCTGCAATAGGTCATGGCCCCATAAATTTACTGCAATATTAGCTATATATGGCCTCAGCCTTCCTTTCTGTCCTTCTAGCCCTATTCATTCAACCCATCTCATGCTTTGTTTCACTTGAGATAGGGTTCCAATTCATAGGAATTGAATATTTGCCTCCTGAAGAGGCCAATCTGTATGCCAAGTATAAGCAAAATAACTATTGAACTCCCAGATGTTATCAGTCAGTTCTTGTAGTTTTTCAGATCTTACCTGTTGTTAGGCAATTACAATGAATTGAAGTAGGGGTAATAATTATTGGCCATCAGGTGTCACAGTTGTAGCCACGTGCCAAGAGACACTAGCAGCAGTGAACAGCATGTACTACTTACTTGGGTACTGAAAAATATGTTTTGTTTAACAAATTAAAAGCAGTTATTAAGGCAATCAAATGATTCTGAGAGTTGGGGCCCAGGATAATGAGAAAACCCAAGGTTTTTCCATAAGCGCGAGCTGCAGACTCTATGTACTGCAGGGATCACAAGCAGCAGTGTGTGGGCTGGTGTATAATGCACTGAGAGGCAGCATGAAGGAGTGCTGAGCAGCAGCCTGCTGTATCTGAGGGCCACCTAGAACCACAGGCAGGAGAGTCAGTGCCCAATGTGCCACGTGGCTGGCGGACAGATCCCAAAAAGTATGGACTGGTTCCCATGATGACAGAAGTTACAAAATAATCCCACACTAGTTCAGAATTATGTATAATAAAGGGTTATTTATTTAGGGGTAGACTCACAGACCACAGTACTCTGTAGGAACGGGGAACAGGAACCGAATCTAGCAGCAGGAAGCAAGAGCTGGAAGCAAGAGAGTGAGTGCATACTTTACAGCTACATTTATAGTATAAGAGACCATGCCCAAGTGGGCTGTATCTTAAAGGCTACTGGCTGAAGGAGCTGAAGGAGCTCCCACAACACACCTGACTTCAGTCCTTATTTTTAGTCTCTTGTTTTCGTTTTTTAAAGGCTGGTGATAGAACCTAGGGCCTTGCACATGCTAGACGAAAAAAATGCTGTGCCTCTGAGTCATGCACCCAGCACATGTGCACAAATCCTAATTTTTTAAAAAAAGATTTGTTTAATGTGCTCTGATGTTTTGCCTGTGTATTCTGTGTGAGAGTGTGAGATCGTGTATGTGGGTGCTGGGAATTGAACCAGTGCTCTTAACCACTGAGCCATCTCTTGAGCCCCCCACAAATCCTAATCTTGATGGTTTGCATATGTGAATGCCCAAGTAGCTGCTGCCCAAGCTAAACACATACTTCCCTCTCTAGCACTCAGAAAACTCATGAACATCCCCTCTTGGCTAAGGTTCACACACTCCACATGATCACTACTACCATCACCATGAATGTTTTTTAATAAATCAAATTTGTGTGTGTGTGCGTGTGTGCATGTGTGTGCATATTCATGCGTGTAAGCTCACTGTGACTTGCATGTTAGGTCACAAGACAACTTTCAGGAGTCAGTTTTCTCCTTGCAATGTGGCTTCTGGGCATTGAACTCACACAAGCACTTTACCCATCAGTAAATATGTTTGCCTGTTATTAAACTTCACATAAACTGAATTGTTAGTATATAGTCTTGTGTCTGGTTTCTTTGTCACAACATAGTATCTGTGAGATTCATTCATACTGTTCCATATACTAATAACTGATCCTTTCGGTTTACAGCCTGCTGGTTTTTTGTTTGTTTTTCGTTTTTATTTATTTATTTATTTTTGAGATTTTTTTTTTCCCTCTATGTAGCTCCAGCTATCCTGGAACTCACTTTGTAGACCAGACTGGCCTCCAACTCACAGAGCTCCGCCTGCCTCAGCCTCCTGAGTGCTGGGATTAAAGGCGTGCACCATCACTGCCCAGCTAGTTTGCTGTTAATGCACCAAAATGACTTGATCTCTGTCCTTTACTAGGCATTTGAGTTATATCTAGTTTGAGAATATTCTCAATAAGGCTGCAATAAGAAATGTTAAATTCTCATGCAAGTTTTTGGTGGGTGTGAGCACTTATTTTCTATTTCTGTAGGGTGTATAGATGGTAATGAAGTTGCTGGTGAATCTAGGTTAGCTTTAGTAACTGTCAAACTTTCCAAAGTGGGTGACCTAACTCCTACACCTTCCAGTCATGTGTGAGAGGTACCAGTTGTTCCCCATCCTAATTCATAGTTGGCATCATTGCGACTTTTCATTTCAGCTACTCTGGTAGATAAGTAGTGCTATTAATTTTAAATTTTTTTTGAGGCAGTGTTTCTCTGTGTGTAGCCTTGGCTGTCTTGGAACTTGCTTTATAGACCAGGCTTCCCTCAAATTCTCAGAGATACACCTGCCTACACTTCCTAAGTGCTGGGATTAAAGTCATGGGGTCATCACTATAAGCATTGCTACTTGGAGGGAAAGGGATCGTGGCAATTGGGAGCCAAGGAATACTAAGTGCTACAGCTTGGGTGGAAAAATGTTCTGGCAGTTGGGAATCAGGGAATAGCACAGGCCGTGGTAAGCACAGCAGCTTACAGCCCTGCTCTAGGAAAAGGTTTCCCCAGTGTATCAGCTCTGCTCCAGCCAGAGAGGGCTTCCCTAGCGAAGCTGTTACAGCTCGACTCAGATGCTCAGGAGTGTAGCAACTCTAAGGGAATGTTTCCCCAGCCCTGGTCTGCTCTGATCCTGTATCTCTAGCTTCCCCAGTGAAGATGTAACAACTGGGTGCTGTGAGGGGAAGGATCCCCCAGTAAAAGTGTTACAACCCTGCTTCACTCCGTCTCTGTTAGGGAGAAAGTCAGTCTTCACCCAAACCTCTTTCAGGAGATATATTGGAAGGGAAGAATCAAGGAGAGTGGGTGCCTCTTCTGGGATGGAAGAAGAGCAGCCACAAAGGGAGCAGCAGGTGCAGGGTTTATATAGGGCTTCTTAGGGGCGTGGTTTTCCCAGGGAGACGAGGGATTGGTTAGTTTTTCCGTGCTCAGAGATTAGTTGGTTTAGTTGGTCAGGGGCAGAGATGGCTGATTTCAGAGCCAAACGGTTTCTTTCACTGGCCTTTTTTCTTATTATTATTTATTTATTAATTTTAACCTTTTGGCTCTAATTTCAGGGCCAGGGCATATTTCCTTCACTGGCTCTGATTCTATGGCCAAAGTGTGTTTTTTTGGCATTGGTTTCAGAGTCAGGTCTTTGGTTCTGGGTTCGGGGTTAAAGATTTATTACACTGACTCTGGTCTTAGAACCAGGGTGTGTTTCTTTTGCTGGCCCCTTTCCCCTACAACCACTACCTAGCAATTAAAAAAAAAATTTCTACTGTGAGGACCAGCCTTCAGCAGTTCAGGGGCTGAGGGGGAGCCACGAGTTGACAAAGTAAGCACTCAACTTTACTATCTGAGGGAGTAAAACTTAATTCTCCGTGGTCAGTGAAAAAAAGGGAAATACACACACAAACACACATAAAGTGGGAAATCTGGGGACTGTTTTACCTTTTTTAAAATCAAATCCACACACAATGGCTACAAGACAGGAGGAGGAATCGGGTCATGTTTCCAGCTGCTCCGACATCCCACCAGGGGAACAGCTCTCCACTGTTTGCGCTAACCTCTTGGCTTCCCAGAGGGCCAAACGGAACTCCAAGCCGTAGCTCTGCCAGTCCCACACTGCCCCAGAGAGAGCTCTCTACTTGGTCCTCAGTTCTTACGTCATGTATACCCAGAAAAGACCACGCCCATAGGGCTTAGTCAGTCCAATACCATTGACTCATCGGACCGAATTCTCACAACATACATGTGCACGTGCACACACACACACACACACCTCCAACATGTCAGGATCTCACTGAGGGTGCTGAGGAAGGGCAGGCCTTCCGCGGGTCAGAGAAACTAAAGAGGAGATGCAAACAGGTGAACTACTGGACAGACAGACACTCGAGGATGTTTCTGAGGGCCAAAGCTCTGTTCCTCGTCTCATTATTCTTTCTGCTTGTTCCACTCTATTCTTTTCCTGTTCTGTCCTCCTACCCTGATGCTTCCCTTGTGTCTATGCTTTTATTTTCCTTCTAGCTAACTTTATTTTTTTCCCTTACAACTTTCATACCCCAGCAAACTCTTTCAAGTGGCTACAATATACTTTTTAAGCAAAAGATTACAATGAACACAAGTAAAAATCAGCATGTTTTCTATTTCCCTTACGTGACCGAACATCTGACAAATTCCAGGTGAAAAACAAGTTGTCCCAAGAACCCACATACATTGTACCCAAGCAGCTTGCTATAGATTAACAGAGTGTAAGCAAGCAAGGTGTTTTTCTCAGCCAGTTCTTTTACTGGCAGGCTGCATTTCTGCGGTTACAAAGAAAGGATCAATCACTTTATTACTCAAATAATAAAGATTATAAGAAATCTTAAAGCAATCACAAACCTAAAGCTTTTTACATGAAAAACAACCAGTCAGTTCCACTCTGAATCTCAGGGTGCAGACTCGCTCATCGACAGTTTTTATATCCGGAAGCTGAGGGCAGAAATGGTACAGGAATTAATCCTCACACAATGTCCTCTTCTGGTCTCTATGGGAAACAGTGGGTATTCACATAGAAAAGAAAATGAATAAATCTAAAATAAATTTTAAAAAGAAACAAGAAACTAAAAACCATTCTTACTTTACTACCTCCCCACTCGATTGGTTGTGACCCATAGCCACTAAGGCTGAGCCCTCTCTCCAGCCCCCAGCTTTATGGGATTTGTGGTATGCATGGACAACATTTTTAAAATTAATTTATTTATTTAATGTACATTGGGGTTTTCCCTGCATGTATGTCTGTATGAGGGTGCCAGATCCCCTGGAGGTATGGATAGTTGTGAGCTACCATGTAGGTGCTGGGAATCGAACCTGGGTCCTTTGGAAGAGCAGTCAGTGAGTCATCTCTCCAGCCCTGTATGGACAAGTTGAAAGTTTTACTGATTTATATTCCCACCGTGCATGAAAAAAAAATATTTTTTTTGAACTGAGATTATTTTGAAATGTCAATTTTGGTATTTCATTACGGCCTTTTTAACCCCCCTAGACAGGTTGTTCCATTTCCTTTTATAAATCCGGTTTTTCTTTTTGGAGAAAGCGACTCCTATAGCCCAAGCTGGCTTTGAATTTGTAGCCAAGGATAACCCTGAACTCCTGATCCTCCAGCCTCCACCTCCTGGGTGCTAGGACAGCCAGGATGCTTGGCTTGTGCGGTGCCGAGGGTGGACTCGGGGCTTCGTGCACACTGGGCAAGCAGTCAACCAGCTGAGCTCATCCCCAGCACATAGCGCGAAGTGCGTTTTGATTGCCAATCACATTTCACAAGATAATATTAAAAATAAATTTAGCTGTGGTAGTACAAGTCTGTAATCCTAGTACTCAGGACGCAAGAGGCAGAGGCAGGAGGATTACGTTAAACTCAAGGCCAGCCTGGTGGACACAATAAACTCGGGTTAACCAGGACTATGTTTAGCCCTTTCTCAAAAAAAGCCAAAATCGACAAAGATGTGTGTGTGGTCTTCTCATGAATGGATAGATACGCAAAATGAGGTTTATAAGAAGTTTTAGCAGTCACAATGTGGTGTAATTCTTTTTTCCTTTTTTGTTAGTTCTTTGAGAAGTTCGTGGTGTATTTTGGTCATATTCAACCCCTGCCACTCGTCCTCATCTACCCTACTTCCCTACCCGCCCGACTTTGTGCCTTCCTTTTTTTTTCCTTTTTAACCTGTCAAGTACGGTTGGTGCTGCCATGGACTCTTGGATGTGTGGCTTCCAATGGAACATGGTCAACCTACCAGGGGCCTCGCCCTTAAAGAACACGGACTCCCTGTCTCCCAGCAGCCAGCAGTTCCTTAACCAGGGGTGAGCTTTTGTGCGCACCTCCCTCCCGCTCCTGGATTCGGTCTGGTTTGAACTTTGACAACACACTGCCCACACTGCCCACACTGCCCACACTGCCCACACTGCCCACACTGCCCACACTGCCGTGCGTTCACATGCGCTGATGCTCTGCTGTGGGGGAAACGCCATTTCTTTAGGTCCATCCACCACCTATGCCCTTTCCGGCCCTCCTCCCACAATAATCCCCATGCCTTGGGTGGGGAGATGTGTGATAGAGATGTCCCCTTAGGGTAGAGCATTCTGTAGCCTCTTGTTCTCTGCACCTTGAGCAGTTGTGGGTCTCTGTGGTAATTTCCATCCCCTGCATGAAGCTTCTCTGATGAGGGCTGAGCGATGCGCTCACCTGCGGGTATAATGACAGGTGATTAGGAGTCAGTTAATACTATGTTCATTTATCAAGTAACAGTAGCAGCTTCTCCTTTAGGGCCTGGGGTCTGTCTAGCCGCAGGTTTGGGCCCTGGTATCAATGCCATATGTGGGGCACAGAACACAAAGCAAACCAGAAAGTGGTTGCTTACTCCCTTGACCTTTGTGCCACTATTGTCCTCGATGTCATGTCTTGTCAGGGCCACTCATTGCTTTAGCTTGGAGGGTCCCCAGTTGGATAGGACTGGCAATTCCTCTGGTCATGGCTGTAGAACCTTCGGGCACTAAGAAAGCTAACTAGAAGGGATAACATTTCCAGGTGAGAATCAGGTTGGTTTGCCTGTGTTCTATAACTCTGGTACATGGTGTTGTCAGCAATGGGGATTACTGTTGAGTAACCCAAAGCATTGGCAATAGCTTGTAATTCTTGGGACCGTACTAGCCAACAACTCTAAAAGAAGAGACCCACTCCTGGCATTCAGCTTTTAGTCTGCGGTGTCTAACAGGGCAGCCACCCTGTTACAGGGCAGCTGCCTTTAGACTCCTTTACTTCTGCATCTGTATCCACCTTAGGGCTTTTCTACGTGGTAGGGTTTCCCTGCTGCTTTTCAAAAGGCCTGTAGTGTTAGCTCCCTCCCATCCCCCTCACCCCTGTCCTCCCACCCCATTTAACCCTTCCTATTCCATTACTCCCCTTCAGCCCCTTATACCACTGCGTCCTAGCTCAGCTCCCTTTGATATAACTTTAAAAGGAGCATACTTATTACTGTTTCTAGCTTTTTCCACTCCTAAAAGCGTAAGCGTTAGCATAACCAATGATACTCCTGGGAAGCATTGTAAAAATACATATGGTTATTTCTATAAATACCCAAGGGGGTTCTCCATTGACATACTCCCTCCAAGCAATAAAAGGTTGTCTCTTTAACATGACAAAAAGACTATTTAAAACCAAAAGTCAAAATTACACTTAATGGGGAAACATGAATTATTCCTCCTTAAAACAGGGCCAAGACAAGGACAATCACCCCTATTTAACTTGGGTCTAAAAATTCTAACAAAGCTTCTAGAGTGGAGAGGGAGGAAGAACGAGACAATCAAAGAGAAGAGAGAAAGCAAGTCCCACAATTTCCAGAGATAGTCAAAGCCTGGGAGACCCAGGGTGCGGCTCAAATGACCCCAGGTTCATCTCCCCAGCAGCTCACCGCCCTCCCCTCTGCAGCCTTTAGGGAGCCGCCATGATTTTACTGCTAAGTCCTTTACATGCCTTTTTTTTAAAAACATGTGTTCCCCTGCACACACACAGGTGTACCACGTGTACCTGGTGCCTGTGGAGGATCAAAGGGGGTGTCAGATCCCCTGGAACTGGAGTTCCAGAAGGTTGTGAGCCACAATGTAGATGCTGGGAATTGAACCCAGGTCTTCTGCAAGAGCTACAAGTCCTCTTAACCACTAAGACATCCCCCCAGCCCCATAATTTTTTTGAAGATTTCATACAATGTATTTGTTCAATGGTGTCTTACTGCCATGTTTTGGAGGGTTAATGAGTATATTGGCAATAGTTTATAATTCGTGGGGGTCTGTTGGATCCCAGTGACCAACAACTCAAAAAGGTAAAGATTCCTGGTAATGGAGACTTTGTTGGCTAGCATGTGGTGTTGACTTGGGATGTCCCCCTTCCTCTGTTGCCCATATATCCTTATTAACATATAACATAGCATAAAAACACTATTTACAATTGTTTTTGTTTTCAATCACTTATAAACACCAGGTATTTACGGTCAGTCACTAACTACAGGGATCAGACGTGTGTCACGTGGACATAGCATTAAAGTTCTGTTTAAGACAGGTAGGAACGTATTTTTCGATCTGCATGGCTAGTCCCATTTTCTACTGTTCTTTTCTCTCTCTCTCTCTCTCTCTCTCTCTCTCTCTCTCTCTCTCTCTCTCTCTCTCTCTCTCTCTCTCTCTCTCCTCCCTCCTCTCTGTCTCCCCCACGTCTTTCTTTGATAGAATCTTCTCAGGAAACTCATGCTGACGTCATATTTGGATGCTTGTGTGAATGTCTTCAGTATTAGAGTTCCGAGCATGCGCCATCCCACCCAGTTTCTTCTGGAGCCTCGGCTGTGCTGAATGGTGGGTCTGTTTTGGGGACTGAGGCCTTAGCCTGTGGAATCTGATGCAATCTACAAGCTGAATCAGAAGACTGGATTTTTAGGACACCCAACTGGTCCTTGGGAGAATTGGTTTATCGGGTAAAGGAAACCAGCATCTCGCACGCCCCCTGGTGTTCAGGGCCGGAAGTGTTGTCCCCTTTGGAGACAATGGCTTTCATTCAAGTTGTGGAGCAGTAAGCAGGCAGCTCTAAGCTGGGGGTGTCAGTGACTCAGCAGCCAGCGACATAGCTCTAGTTTTGTTAGGACATCCTGGTGTTACAGCTCTGGGCACCTGTCAGGACCTTTGACGGTTTCCAGGACAAGGGTTTACCGCTGGCCATCAGTAGTCTCTCAACTTCAGTCCCGGGCCCTTTACAGCCTTCTATCTTCTGAAGTCTACTCACAGACATCGCTCTCCTTTGCTGCACCCCAGCAGTTCTTCCCAGCTTCAGCTGCCCAAAGTCTCTGCTCACAGTTGTTCACTGGACTCCTTTGTCCCCCACTATGGGTGGCTTGTGTGTCTGGGATTAGCAGCCCCTGCATGCAACTAGTTTAGTCTACTCTACCTGTGATAAAAGACAAAAGACAGCTAGATAAAACTCCATCTGTGATTAAAAAAATATATAGACAGTTTATAGTAAAGAGGGCCCCAGAATGCCAGTGGAGCCCCCAGAATGCTAGAGGAGCCCTAGAATGCCAACAGAAACCCCAGAATGCTAGTGGAGCCCCCAGAATGCTAGCCAAGTCCCAAGAATGTCAGCGGAACCCCTAGAATCCCAGCTGAGCCCACAGAATGCCAGCAGGGCCCCAGAATGCTAGCCATGCCCCCTTCACTCAGCCAGTCCTTAGCACTCACTGTCAACGTCTTCCTCATTCACTTAAGTTTGTCATCATAAAGGCTGAAGCACGTGTGGGCAGGGACATGGGAAGACTCAGTGGACATCATCCTGTGAGCACCACCTGAAGTTGCCACGGCCTAGGCAGAGGCTCCCACACAGCTCAGCCTTAGGGTGGTGGTCAAGACAGCTGCGTCAGTTCAGCAACTGGCTCCTGCAGGTGGCTGCGAGGGTCTAAAAACTATCAGTGATGGTCCTGATAAAGGCTGGATAAATAAATAACCGAGGCTACTGGATTGGCAGCTCCCACAGCCTCTGTGGGAATGGCCGCAAGCCCTTCAGTCACAGGGGCAATATGGCGGACTCGGGAACTGTGGCGGCGACAGCTGGGGACCCTGATTCAGCCTTCCTCTCTGCAGTTCTGGGTCGGTGCTTGGTTTGTCCTTGTTAACTGTAGCTTCAGCTGGGCCTTGGGAAGGCCTGGCAGCTGTCAGTCAGGTCTCCCACCTATCTTTTGAAAGGAGAAGTGTGTAAGGGGCGCTTGTGACAAAGATTTGACACACAGTTCAAGACTTTTTTCCAGCAATTTTTTTTCTGATAATTTTTAACCTTAAGCCAAATAACCTTACTGAAGCTGGAAACACCCCAGCTCCTTTCTTCTAGCCTATTGGACTATTGTTTGTTGTTATTGTCTAAGCACCCACCACACAGCCAGAGAGGCTTACGGCCGCCTTACTGGAACTTAGTCCCCAAGGATCAGCCAGCCCCACCTCTCCCCTGGCCGGTGCTTTCTTACTGAGTCACATCGGGAGCCCAGCAGACAGAGAAACGGTTAAGTTGCTGACTCGCAAGAAGCCGGCCGACTTTGCACTCATTTCCAAACTTGCTGTTGAACAAGGCTGGACTTTCGTTCTGTTCTGGTTCGCTTCTTTTCTTAGAATTGCACTTCTTCAATGAGAACGCAGAGCAAACTTAAAAACAGGCATTTCCTCTGTCCCCCCCAAAACGTCTGCAGCATCATTTAAAGTAAAAGGGTCTTGACAGCTGAAGTAAACTCTGTGAAAGTCGGGGGCCTCAGCCCAGAGAGCCCCAGGCAAACAAGGACAGTATGAATGGCGCTCGGAGTCCATCTCTGACTCAATTAGGAGGAATCAATCTTGTCACTGAGTTCCCAAGGAAATTCAATTACAGGGTCAAGTGTAGGAAGCTGGCTAACTGTGGCTTAAGCAGCAGACATGACAGGCGGTCGATAGCTGCCTGGGGATGAGTTTGACTTCAAAGCCCCTGAATCCGCCGTGAGAAAAGATAGACGTGGTCGCAGGAAGAGGCTCCTAGAGGCTAGAGCTGACCCCCCCGAGAGTCCAAGCCAAGAGTCCAGACAGGGAACTGCAAAGAAACCTACCGCCTCTAGTGGCTTAGCTGCCATTTATGATGGCTTACTCCCGGGGGCTCACAGGAAAGGCCATCAGGGCCCAGGAGGGACCGTCAGCCCCAGTGTGTGCAGTCTGTGTGGGAGAAACCATACCAGACACGGACAGTGCTCTGAAGAGAAGTCTAAACTCTTCCAAAGGAAAAGGGCGCGGTTGGGAGATGTTTTTCTCGGTTAAACTCGGAGTCGTTCCCCCTCTAGTGGTCACATAGATGTTTGCAAAGACATGTTTGTAAGTTTAAAAAAAAAAAAAAAAAAAAGAAATCCAGAAACCATAAATAAAATGACTAAACCCATTACATAAAAAACAAGTTTTTTTTTAAAAAAAAGTTTTTGCACAGTGTGGTGGCGCATGACTTTAATCATAGTATTCAGGAAGCAGAGGCAGGTGGAGCTCTGTGAGTTCGAGGCCAGCCTGGGCTACATAGAGAGACCCTATCAATAGTAATTAATAATAATACTAATGGAGGCCAGTGGGATGGCTCAGTGAGTAAGGACACACCTGAGGACCTCAGTTCGAGCTCTAGGACCCACGCTGTGGGAGAAAAACACCAACACGTGAAAGTTCCCCTCTGAAACACACACACACACGGGGGCGGGGAGACGCTCAGCGGAATAGATAAATAAATAAGTAAATATTAAAAGGTTAGTTAAACACATGGAACAGAAGTGAAATACAAACCCAAAGAGAAATGTAAGCTAAAAGTAAGCCACTTTTCCGCTCCTTTACAGACTGGTGGGGCTCCCCAAACCCAAAGCTGGACAACAGACTCTGAAGGCGAGTTTTCGAGAAGCCAATAGCCTCACCCCCCACTACCACCACAATAGCCCAAGGACACGCTGTAAGGAATGCACACGTCTATGCAGAAGAGACAGTCACAGCCGCAGTGTGGAAGTAACCCAAAAGCCCGATACTGGGAGACCGCGTATGTGCGAGTCACGTGATGTGCTAAATATAACAGGAACTACGGGGAGGGAGAAGGGAGAGTTCTAGGTACTGATTTGAGTTCCTGATCTGCCACCACTAACTGAAGCAGGTCCAGACAGAGAGAGTGCTTGCTGCCTCTTTGAAAGAAAGGAGGGACAGGAACACACGTTTGTGGGAAATGTCACCTTTACTGGAAGAGGGGAGAGAAATGTCACCTTTACTGGAAGAGGGCAGAGAAGGAGGCAAGGAAGGAACTGCTTTTCCACAATGGCTTTTTATACTACTCTGGTTCTTTCTGTTTGTTTTTGTTTCTTCGAGACAGGGTTTCTCTGTGTAACCCTGGCTGTCCTGGAACTCACTCTGTAGACCAGGCTGGCCTTGAACTCACAGACATCCACCTGCCTCTGCCTCCCAAGGCACTGTAATTTTTAAAGATATACATCTATTTTTTATTTTTAATTTTTCCTGAGACAGAGAGGTGGTCGGCAGAGCAAAGTGGAGTTGAACTTGTCCTTTGGGAAGTGGGAGAACAAGGAAGTCCCAAGGCAACAGGCATTTCCAGAAAGCCCCTCTCAGAGCTGGGAGCCCAGAACTCAGCAGCGTCAGGGAAGCCACCTTAACAACCAGCTAGTAGTACCTGGGTTTGTTTTGTGGGAGCTAGGCTGAGCCTGGGCTGGCTCACATGCTAGGTCGTGCTCGGCCACTGACAACACAAGCCCACTGTTCTGTATTTAAGTGTTTAAAGTTATGCATGTGTTCTTTGTATGTATATCCGTGCACCACGCATGTGTCTGGTGCTCAGGGAGACCAGAAGATGGCATCAGATCCCCTGGGACTGTAGTTACAGACGGTTGTGGGTGGGTGTTAGTAACAGAACCTGGTCCTCCGCATGAACAGTCCACGCTTTTAACCACTGAGCTGTCTCTCCAGCCCAGTTCTGTGGTTATTAGAATTGTCTATTTCCCACACAGTTCCAGAAAGAGAGACACGAAGGGAGAATCCACGAATCCACTTACCCTAGGACCCATGGGTCACAGTGTGAAAACAGTTGCTGAAGCCATTGCACAAGGAAAATGATCTCTTTTCTGGATGGGTAACGGCCAATCAGCGGCTTCTCTAGACAGCTGATCGCCCCACAGCTACAGGGGAACTGGCTCTGAACCGGACTTAACTCCATCATCTTGGTCGTTCAGTACCGGTATGGACAGAGAATAGCCCTTATTAACTGGCTGTATGCCTAGGTGACAAGATCCATCCTCTCTGTCCTAGTCAGACTGAGAAGATTCATGGAGCCAGGGGTGTAAGGCAAGAGACCCCGACTGGCTGCATGATGGCAAATTCCACATTTTACAGAATCTAAACCACTTTTTGAGGATTTGTTGTGGGTTTCAAAAGCCCACCCTCACCAGGCATGGTGGTGTAGGGCTTTAATCTCAGCACTGGGGAGACAGAGGCAGGGGGAATCTCTGTTGAGTTCCAGGACAGCCAGAGCTATGTAGAGAGACCCTATCTCAACACCCGCCCCACAAAAAAAAAAAAAACACCCCACCTTCTTTGACCTACTTCTGCCATCTGGGCCCTACCTCCTAAACTGGTCCTACAGCCTGAGAAACGACGCCACCAGGGAGGAACCAATGCTCCAAAGTGTGAGCCTGAAGGGGACTTTCAGATCCAAACTGTACAGACTTTTAAGATTAATTCTATAGTCAGGCAAGTGATGCTAATTTACCCAAACACGTGGTTTGGGAAGACGAAAGATGAAACAGCTGATAAACCCCTGCCTGCTCACCTGTCCTGGCTAATTTTACCAACATGACACAGTCACCTGGGTAGGAGGACCTTAGCTGGGAAGATGCCTCCATCAGATGGCCTATAGACAAGGCCGTAGGACATTAATGATTGCAGCGGGGTAGGCGGAGCCCACTATGGGCGATGCCATCCCTGGACAAGTGGCCCCGGGTGGTATAAGAAAGCAGGCTGAGTTAGTCACGAGAGGAAGCCAGAACACAGAGATCCTTCACATCCTCTGCTTCCATTCCTGCCTCCAGGACTTTGCTTCACTACGGACAACTGAAAGCTGGAAATATAAACCCTTCCCCTCCACCCCCCCCCCGGTTAATTTTGGGGATAGTGTTTATCAAAGCACTAGAAAGCAAACTAAGACATCCTCCAAGACAAGAAACCCCTATGTGTTTTGTGTCTTGTCCACCCCCCCCCTTCCAGCCTGCTGTCTGAGGACAGCGTAGTGTGAGCTCCCTCCCACTCAGCCCCAGTAAACAGAGCTGGGTTTTTCTGTGGAGCTCTTAGTTCTTGTCACCTTGTAAGACTTTAAGACAATCCTGAAGCCATTTTTGACAATTCTGAATCCTCTCAGCCTCTGTGCTATGGTGCTTCCCCTCCTCCCCTGGGAACCAAGGACCTAACAGCTACACTTGCACGTACTCAGTTCCTGAACAATTACCCATATACGTAAGCTTTGGTTCTGTCCCCTGGGAAACGAGGTCAAAATGACCTCTTACCTCATCTGATCTGGCAACAGCTCTCCAGTCAATTATTGGTAATAGCCCTTTCGAATAAGCCAATCAGAATAGTCAAAGAACAACCCCCTTGCTTCTGTAGCCCCTTTAAAAGTAGACTGTACCCGCTATTCAAGGTCCCTTGGCTTCCCAAATGCTGGGGGACCCTGTCATGACAGAATTAATAAAAATCCTCATGCTTTTGCATCGGCTGTGGTGTGTGGTCTCTGGGGGCGACTCCTTCTTGGTGTTTGGACGCCAGAGTCCAACAACCTCGGTCATGTTAGCTCCATCTTAGCCCCAGGGAACCCAGAATGATCCATCACATCACCTGGTGACAGAGATAGGTTCCAGGTGGACGCGTGACCAAAGCTAGATGGATTTCTATTGTGGTGGCTCATGCAAGCAATTCCGGTACATAGGTGGGAAGCTGATGGAGATTAGATTTCTAGGGATACATTCTGCATCAAAAGCTGAACTTTTAGGCTTTTGTTGAGGCTGTTAGGCAAGCAGAGCTGTTTTAAGCTTGGAAGGCTGGGAGGCCTTCACTTCTGCTGCTATGAAAGAAGAGCCTCCTTTGCATGTTGCCATGCCAACCTGCCAGGCAAGATGTGCCCGCTGAAGCAATAGCGGTGTGACTGTTACAGGGTGACCAAGTGGGTCTAATAGGCCTGCCCCACAGTGCTGTGGGGTATTTGTACGCTGTGTGAGGATGCGCTGCTGTGATTGGTGTGATAGAGTTGTATAGCCAATAGCTAGGCAGGAGGTGGGACTTCCCGGCAGAGAGAGGAAGAAGAGACACCACTGAGATGCAAAACAAGTCAGACACACAAAATGGGAGGGGGTAAAAGCCACATGGTAGATATAGATTCATGAAAATATGGGTAAGTTTAAGTTATAAGAGCTAGTGAGACAAGCCTAAGCTGAGACCCAGCTTTCATAATTAGTAATAAGTCTCCATGTCATTATTTGCAGGCTGGTGGCCCAAAGAAAGTCCAACAAGAAAGCTTGCTGTACCACAGGAGGGCATCATACCTGGTACTGTGTACCTGGTTCAAGGCCCATAGCTGGGAGGTCTGAAGTCGAGGGGTGAACACACTGCTTCTGTTTTCTGAATGGACATATTGTCAGACTATCTCCTAAACATATGTTTATACTCCTAGACCGGAGCTGTTGCTCTTAGCCCTGTCAGAGACGGTTCTTGTTTCAGTGGCTGCTGACTAACACAGAGACTCTCATGGCTGCTGGTCAAAGTGCTGAGTGTAAGCAATTGCCATTCAAGTGCTTGATTCTCAACAGGACCTCAGACCATCCCCACAGAAGGGGGAGGGGGAAGAAGGTGAGAGCCAGAGAGAGCTGGGAAGGGCCTTGTTCTGGGCCTGGGATGGCTATTGCACTCACGCACACGGCACTCACACCAGCTGCACGAGACCTCCCGGCCAGCATCCAGATGTGGATGGGGAAGAGGGAGTCATTGTCCCGAGTGACGAAGCCACTAGTGAGGTGTCCATGCTCATGCAGGCAGTGCTGGTTAAACCCAGTGGGTCACAGAACAAAATTCAAGTAAAAGACGATGATGGGAGGGGACTTGTGGGGGAGGGGCTAAGAGAAACTGGGTGTGTGGGGCCAGAATGTATTATATACATGTATGAAGTTGTCAAAAAAAAGTAAATTTTAAAG